GAACCTTCTCCGTCAAGAACACCGTCCAGTACTATGGAACATTCTCCGTCTAGAACACCGTCCAGTACTATGGAACCTTCGCCATCCAGAACACCGTCCAGCACGATGGAACCTTCGCCATCGAGAACACCGTCCAATTCTATAGAACCCTCTCCGACGAGAACACCGTTCAGTACTATGGAACCTTCGCCATCAAGAACACCGTCCAGTATTATGGAACCTTCTCCGTCAGGAACACCGTCCAATACTATGGAACATTCTCCGTCGAGAACACCGTCCAGTACTATGGAACCTTCGCCATCGAGAACACCGTTCAGTTCTATAGAACCCTCTCCGACGAGAACACCGTCCAGTACTATGGAACCTTCTCCATCGAGATCACCGTCCAGTACTATAGAACTTTTACCATCGAGAACACCGTCCAGCACGATGGAACCTTCTCCATCCAGAACAACGTCCAGTACTATGGAACCTTCTCCATCGAGAACACCGTCCAGTACAATGGAACCTTCTCCATCAAGAACACCGACCAGTGCTATCGAACCTTCTCCATCAAGAACACCGTCCAGTACTATGGAACCTTCGCCATCGAGAACACCGTCCAGCACAATGGAACCTTCGCCATCGAGAACATCGTCCAGCACAATGGAACCTTCTCCATCAAGAACACCGTCCAGTACTATGGAACCTTCTCCATCGAGAACATCGTCCAGCACAATGGAACCTTCTCCATCGAGAACACCGTCCAGGACAAAAGAACCGTCTCCGTCCAGAACACCATCGTCGTCCAAGAGTTCGGCTTCGTCAGCTACCCCATCTACACCACATAAACCATCGCCCTCTTGTGAACCATCGTCATCGGTGAAGCCGGCAACCTCGCCATCTACATCGGTGATCCCATCGGCAAACCCTTCACGATCCATGGTGCCGTCATCGTCTGCAGTACCCTCTAGGTCTGCTGCAGCTTCTGCCTCACCTTCCACCTCTAAGGCACCCAGGGTCTCACCCACGCCAAGTATATCTCGTGCGCCGTGGCCTTCTCGCAGCCCTACTCCCGCGCCCAAGGGGCTCTACTGTGGCGATATTACTTATAGCAAGTGTGGGGGAGAATACAAGCGAAACGTTAAGTGTTGCCGAAATACAGACAAGTGCTCTGGCTGGGGGAATTGCAAATGCACGTCGACCCATTGTTGCGACGGGGATATTGTCAAGCCACCAGATGACGACAAAGAGGAAACTTCATCCGACAAGGCGAACTATATGTACTGCGGTGACGTGAAATCGGACAAGTGTGGTGGACACTACCAAACTGGTAAGAAGTGTTGCAAACAGAGCAACAAATGTGCCGGTTGGGCATCTGACAAATGCTCGAGTAGTCACTGTTGTGCTGGTGATGTACACGGTAGCAACGACAATGACAAGGACTGTGGTAGCCGTCGTCGTTGTGTTCGCCGTCGCCAGGCCAGACTCCACCGTAGGATGTATACAACAACTGACCGTTCCGTGTGAAATGGGAAACGCAATCCAGTTCAACCAGCGTCCAGTCTCAGCGTGCATTGTCAATATTATCCACCTCGCAGGGGTACACAGCCCTACGCAACTTTATTGCTGTAGGCATGTACGTGGAGCTCATAAAATAGTAAAGAAAATTAGATACGTAGTAAAAAGTCACTCTTACCAATCTCGATAAGCACAGTTTTCCCGAGCACCACAATAAATACTGAATTAGAATCAGAGACTAAGCTGATATTGATTTCATCCACAGCTTTTTCGACTATATGAAAATTGGAAAGTTTCAATCAACAGCAAAATATCTCGCGATTCGCGAAAAGCGTGACTGATAATGTCAAGGTACTTTGCAGTAATCGGGTTGCTGGCAAGGGCGACTGTTGCTAGTTCATATCAATCGAGGAGCAAAATTAAATTGGCGAATTGCCGGCCCAGACAACACGGCTGATGGTAACCCGCAAATACCTACGCTCTACTTTGTCACACAATGCGTTGACGAATGGCAGAAACCTGGCAACCTTTAGGCTAACATACAACTACGATTTTATTCTGCGGAACTCGCCTACGCTATCTGAACCGGATAAACCACCTGGCTATCCAGTGCATAGTCTCTTTCGGTGTCTGACACCATGGTGGGCACCTCTTTAGTTTTCTTATGGAGCAAGAGCAACGATAGAAGCACAGGAAGATGTATGATGGATGCAAAGAACAGCCCTCTGGCCGATTTGGAATTCCCGTTCCGGTAGAATTTCCAACTCTCCCAGAACTGCGTTGTGTACGCACGCGCATGGTGTATTTCGAATGAGAAAGCAGAGTGCACAGTCATGCCTGGCGAAGGATTGGTTTCGATATCAACTCGTATTGTAAACTGCACTCACATACAGAAGCACATATGATTGAGTACTGCTGGTTTTTTGGAGGGAATGGGAAACGGGATGATGAGGAACACAAATACATCGATCTAAAGGGTTAGTAAGCCATGATAATTCAAATCACGTATCATGTCCTGACGTATAAGACCCGGAGGCCACGAGACAACCAAACACGCGTTACGAAAACGGTTGAAGCTTGTTAGATTTAACTACTACGGTATAGGCGTAGTGCAGCGGGATGAGAGACGAATGACAGCAATCGCAGGTGGTGTGGGATTGGCACATGCAGCTTACCATTGCACCGTTCACTAGAGTGGACGTGTATGCGAAGTTGATGGTCGTCATTTCCACGTAGCAGCACGCATAGCACAGAGGGAAGAGGAGCGCGGAGTATCGCAGAGCCACTCGCATGCAAAGGCCAGGGTTTGTCACAGACATCATATGGTAGCCTTCGAGGGAACAAACAAGGTTATTGGTAACTATGGGTATAGAAGCCCTTTTGAGCAAGGTGATTGGTAACTCTATGGGTATAAAAGCCCTTTTGAGCAAGGTGATTGGCAACTCTATGGGTATAGAAGCCCTTTTGAGCGTGTTTGGGCGCATGGAAGTAGACCTAGCAGGTATCCATAAAGCTCGATTGCATTCATCCGTAAGAATAAATCCCTGATAAGACCGGCCACATAGGCCAAATAGGGCTCAACTGGCAAACAAGGATTGGCAACAGATCACAATTATATATGATGCGAACATAATACCCACATAATACAGCGGCGCTCCCGAAATCATAGAACAATGGAATCACACTATATAGTTAATGTCCCGGGGTGGAAAGAAGGGGGGGGGGAGGGGCAACCCGTTGCCATCGTGATATATTTATTCAAACAAATCGGTCACTCTGTACAAGAACTGTGTGTATGAAACGGTAATAAGACAATTTCTCTCTAAACGAAGCATGTACACATATTTCATTTCCACTCACAAACACTTAGAAATGTAGTCAAAAGCCTCCCGTTGCTCTAACACAGTCCTCCATAAATAGCACCCTAAAATAGCCTAAAAATTGTGAAATGAACTGGACGAAATCACTCAGATAACGGGTACATTGATAATTAGTTCACATTCTGCGCAGTCGACTAAAGTACGGCGTCGTAGTTGTTTGTGCTTGCACGCGCTCCATTGTCACTACTTCCACAAATGAAAATGAAGGGGGAAAGCACGCCCAGAATCAGCGTAGACGTCCCATCTCAAGATATATCTGTGTCAATTCGGTAGAATACACAATAACGACCCATTCACCATGTATAGAGTCGCATTTGCGCGTACACGCGTACAAAATAGTATGGCACTGACATTTGTCATCTACAGAAAGACAATGTGAGGTGAGTGTACGTACAATATACAATCAAGCGCCCTTGTGGCCCGTACACAATACACTTCATCCGTACCGCACCCTACCTGCTTTGCTATAGTCCTGGCGCAAGTTCCAGCTGAGTGAGTTGAAATGCGGAAACTGCCATGCATACAGTATGCCTGCCAGCACCCAAGCGCCATCCTCTAGTCCACCCGTACAGGCAGCCCACCCCATCATAGGCGGAATAGCGCCGACAACGGCCCCTGTCCAGGTATTCGTAATGGAGAAACGCTTGGACGGTGTGTACACACATGTGTACAGCAAGATGTTGGTGAAGCCTAGCAGAGCTACGAGGCTGTTGACCTCAGTGCACAGGATGCCTGTGCCAGCTGCACCACAGGCCACGCCGAAGGTCAGCGCGTGCAGTGGGGAGAGCTGCAGTGTAGAGGTGTGTGTGTGTGTAATGTGAGAGGTGTGTGTGTGTGTAATGTGAGAGGTGTGACTGTCACGTTTGTGCATGTATGGATGATCCGGGAAACAGGCTGTGAAGCTTCATATTAATAAAGAGGGGCGAGAGTGTTTGTTTCGCATAGGGAGATGGGGGGGAATTGATGCAAAAGTAACTATGCAATACTTTGGGCGGAGCGATCCAAAGACGAAGATGCATCAGATCAGAAATACAGAAATGGGAAGAAGTAGTACAAACGAGAGACCTCTTCGCAGGTAGCCTCATTTGCTGTTTGAATTTGTTTGGAATGAACACACGCAGACCAAGGCCATATGTTGCGTCAAGAAATGTGCTCGCGCTTGACCCAGAACATGACCTGTACATCTAACACAACACCAAACGCGGTAGTTGCACACACCTCTTGTCGCACTATAGCCCTATTGCCCGTACGCGACATCTGGCCGTCAAACGGTACTTCGGCCCACTGATTGATACTGTTTGCAGCCGACACACACAGCCCCGTGCCTAAGGTGGTGTAGAAGAGTGTCTCCGCGTTGATGGCTCCCGGAGCAATGGCGTATCCTACCATGGTGGTCAGCACTACCAAGGCACTCAGTCGCATCTTGGTCAACTCCATGTATACTCCGGGTTTTGCACTCCACTTTGTACGACAGTAGGGGTGGAACATGTAAGAATGTCTGCAGATATCTATATTGAGTCGATTTGCAACGGACTGGCCTGAAAATAAATCATACTCGCATCATCTGATGGTCGGGTCCGAGATCTTCATGATCCTGACTATCCATTACATATTGACTACGCGGATGGACATTAATAAACAGTCATCCAAGCGAAAGGTAAGGCGACACGTATACAAACGGGGTAAAACTCGCTACACGACGTATAAATCGAAAAATCCTCTCACCCTTCAGAGAATGCGCCGACTATCGCTGACTGCACAGACATAACAATAGTATAAGCCCGATCTGGGTTAAAGTCATGGTCCATACCGCGTTTGGGACCTACCTGCATATATGCATTCGCAGACGATACAATGAAGAACACATACGAATTACACACACATGACTAATCGACAACATGTGTGGTATGTTGTTCGAGCCAATGACGATTAGACACACACCTTCGTGGGCACAAGCTCTCTCGTTCTGCTCAAAACTTCGGTAGCCGGTTCATTCGTTAGATTGTCGTTGTTATCAAGTGGGATTCTCTGCATCGAAAATGGTAATATTAATAAAGATATTACAATGAAGTACAATAGTAAATTTATTGAACGAACAAGCCGCAAAAACAAAACAATAATACGGAGCAAAAACGCCTATACAGGTAAATATTTACACATGCATAACCATATGCAACAAAAATGAATGTACTCATATATATATATATATATATATATATATATATATATATATATATATATATATATATATATATATATATATATATATATGTAGTGTGTGTGTGTGTGTGTGTGTAGTGTGTGTGTGTGTGTGTGTGT